CCCATTTTGTTCACAGTGATATTGTCAGTGCAAGATTGGCTCGCCGGCTGGACGAGGTTGAAAGGGTACCACCTAGACTGCCCTAGTCTTGGAATATTGAGCGGCTCTTTGCTTGGCTTTCCTGTGAGATGGGGTCATATCCGAAAGCTGTTCCAACTGCAAAGTCACCTTCTATATCCCCGGCATCATCACCCGTTGCTGCTGTAAAGGCTCTTGCGAAATCTGGTGATGCACAGGCTGCTGGCAATTTGTCTTCAGGACATGAATCCTCAGGCAGTGCGCTTGGGTTGTCTCCTACGTTCACAACATTGGCTGCACCTTCCTTGGGAGTGGTAGCTGACCAGGCAGCTACGTCTGTTGAGACTGGTGAACACTCAGGTGACTGGCCTTTCTGGAGTGGACTTCTTGCAAAGGCATATCATCGCAAGTCAAGGGAGGATTTGCCAAAGCAGCCCTGGGAAAGGTCGCATCGCCCTTTAATCAGGTGATGAAGCTGCCTCAAGTCGGCTACTCGGACTTCATGGCGGGAAAGGACCCTGGCGAGCCGTTGGAGACCAAATCTTTGCCTGTGCCCCATCCTGAGTTTGCCCGCAAGCGTTTTGAAGCTGGCATCGATGAATACTGAGCCAGATGCTGTTCGATTAAATTGTTTACGCAAACTGCGTACCATGGTTCTACTGGATCCGGCTACGTCAGAGCTGGCTCAATCCTTGGGTCTGTGATCACACGCAGTTTTGTGGATTGCTTTGCCCCGAAGGCCACCTCAACCATTTTGAAGCGGACCACGCACCTTTGGGGATACTGCACATTTGTTACCGAGAGGCAGCTGGGTTCCCCCTTGGAGTTCTCTGAGCCCGTTCTGTACCAGTACTTGAACCACATGAGGGACTCCCACCGTGGGGCTACAGCATCTGCTTCTTTCTTGCAGTCCATCAATTTCCTTCATGGTACAGTGCGGCTCACAGTCTTCATGGGAGGCATAGTTCTGTCATCCAGGTGCACTGGCCTCGCCAAATCAGAAGCAGCGCGCAAGAGGGTGACTAAGCAATCCTCAGTTTTGACAACAGATCAGGTGTGGCGACTGGAGCGGTTCGTTGTGGAGAACTCCCCGTCGTATCTCTCCACAATTGGAGGCCATATCCTTTTCTGCCTGTACTCTTGTGCCAGGTGGGGGGACTCGATGGCCCTTGATAAGATTGAGGAGTTCACTTCAAACCAGATTGTTCTTGTTGAGACAGCTACATCTCACCACAAGACTGCC